AGGCCATATCAACTCAATTAAAATGCATCAATAGCTTCAGAGAGTTTATATTAGTGTAAATCAAATATTCAAATGCATGGAAAACACATGTAAATTAAGATACGAATGTGAGAAGTTTTATGAACAGGGCAAATCCATTCTACCAATTCTGGATGTGTGGAGCCTTGAAAAGTATTGAGACACGTTCAACAAAGTCCCAGCAAGCCTTTGGAATCGATTATAGGCTTTGAATCACGCTCTATGTGTGTTTTCAGTTTTGAGAATTTTGTATGAAAAATGCAAATTTGTTCTTGTGATTCTGGCGCAGCTTCTGAGTTTCTTGCATTAGGTTTAGGTTTGTGCTTATATGTGGAATGAATTAGGGTAGAAATCCAAGTCCATAATCCTTTGCATTCATGATTTTGAATTCTTGATTTTGCATAATCTTTTTCAATCTTTTTCATACCTTTTTGATACCAATCATTGCCAATTCTTGCCTTTTTGAGTATGCACGAAATCTTGAGTGAATAATGAGTTGAAATGCTGCATAAAAAGATTTGAAAACATTTGTTTAGTATTTTTCTCATATTTAATTTTAATTAAATGAATTAATGGATTTGAAAATTCAATTAATAAATTAAAAATAAGAAAATAACTCCCCTTTGGGTCAATGGGTCGTGCATAGCTTTTGGGTTATGATTCTTGGAGGAAATTGTGGCCCATTAGCAATTTTGAGGTATTTGAAGGAAAGTTGACTTTTCAAAATTCCCAAAAGTTTCCCAACTTCCACAAGGCATATCTTACTCAATTTTTAAGCTTTGATCATGTTCTTTGACATTTTGGAAAGGTATTAAAGTCCTCTAACCAATGCCTTTGGTCCCATGTCATTTTGATTTACCAATCTCAAGTTATGGTCTTTGACTTAAAGTGCCTTTTTGTTGACTTTTGAAAATGACCTATAATGTTGAGATTGATAACTTTTTGTGAGAGCATTTCTTGGACTTGAAGTGTGAATATGAGTTGTAGGAAATGTCATTCTCTTCAAAATGAGCTTTGGATGGAATTTTAATGATAAACCATGTGGAAGTTATGCCCTGGTCAATTTGCAGTTGACTTTTTCAACTGTCCAAAAATAGAAACTTTTGCATCTTGAGACTTTTTGAGCCATGCTTTGAGAATCATGATCAAGAATTGATCAAATGATGTTTGTGGCTTCAAAATAAGATGTTGACCAAAAATCTTGACTTTTGACTGTCAAATGACCATTTTGCCCCTGCAGTTGACTGTAGGACAATTAGGTTTTTGACTGTGCAATTTTGTGCTGTGAGTCTTGAAACTTGACATGAGGATGCTTGACAATGTTTGTAGGCTTGTGGGACTTGTTTGGACCCTTGGAAACTTCAATTTCTTTTCCAGAACCAAAACCCTAATTTTTTACTGTTTAGGAGGCAATTGGACTGTGCAACCCTTGAGAGATTTTGAACCTTGATCTTGGCAAATCTTGAAGAATATGGGAGGGCAAATTTTGGGGTACAACAGACACGTACCAGAGTTGGGACAATAAACTGGGGTAGAAGTGTTATCATAATATTGATCATCATCTGAACATGAATATGTCTCATCGTCACCCTTTTTATTTATAAATTCGCATGAACTATCGCTGAAATATTCATCTATCGAACATTCTTCATCTGGCACATCACTTTGAATGTTAGAACTTGTAATAGAAATGTTAGCATTTGTAGTAGATGGTAAATGATTTCTGGATGAAGAGGCAACTCCATGATCAATGTTTGAAAAAAGCATGGAAAAGATTAGCGACAACTGACCGAATGACACAAACGTTCAACTGTATTTTAGATGAATATACGTATCCACTTGACTGAGCATGTATATTATTATACCTTTGATTATACAATGAGGATTTTATTGCACACGGAGTCGTATATGAATTTTCAGTGAGTGCAGAATGGTTCAACACATCACCACCATTATTATTGACAATGTTGTCGTCATGTATACTTGACACATTAGCCTTCTGTCTAATAATTCTCATCCTTCTCTGCCTTGCAGACGCGGACGAATATGGTGGGGACAAATGATTAAAAGTAATGTTAGATTTGGAGCTTCCTAATGAAGATGTTGGTGTCTTTAGATAAGATAATGACGAAGATGTAGAATATCGATTCTCACGACCAAACAGCTTATGGAGATTTGATGAAACAACATGATTCACACCCACGTTCAATCTATGTGCATTATCAAGAACAGTTGCAATTGGCATTGAATTGAAATTCGGCTTCGTCGAATTCAAAATTGAATTGCTAATATTAGATAGAGGTGTTCTGAAATGATTTTTGGCAGGACTTCTGATGTCATCAACTCGGTTCCTCTTTATTCTTCTATCTTTGATAATTTGCTTCCTTTTGCTTCTTTCCAAGGTTGCTAATTTTTTCCTGTCCATAATATGTGAATCCATCTTAGTTGAATAACACAAACTAACAACTAAATTACCATGTAAAAGCAGGCAATGAAACAGTCAATAACTAATACAGTTTGCAAGCTCATCATGTACATGTTATTTTTACTCATATGAACAAAAAAGAGGCAATTTGTTTGTTATGTGTTCTATGTAAATGTAACATATTATCTCTCGTGATGTTCATTATTAAATTAAAGGTTATGTAAAGATAAGCCATAGTATTTAAAAAAAGTAGGAGGGATTTGGAAAATGTAGAGACCTTTACATGTCTACCCCATTTTACGTATATATATGATGGATGTTGGAAACTGAACTTAATTTATTATTCAATAATTTATTATTCAATAAGTTAAAAGGTAATACATGCATGTGTTATACATTGAGATACTACTTACATCATGAAAAGGTAGTATTAACCAAAGCGTAATAATGCACATGTTGGAAGCTTAAGTAAAAAGGGAATACAGTTGTAGTAAAAAACATTTTGTGGACTGCAATGCATGACACGGTATACCAAGAAATATAATAGGGATGGTCCAAAGATTTTCTACATTATAGGTATTGTGACATCAAATCAAATAAAGACCTTTAACCACTATTAGAAGTAACATATGCATGTCTTTAATTCTATTTAAAGGAGAACTTGTGTATGATATGCTTGCATTAGTATTGAAATTGTTCCCTCTCCATATCAGAAGGTTTTCTAAGAGAAACGGGTTGCATGTCTTCTCCAAGCTTGAGTGGGTAAGTCTCAATTTCTGAAATTATGTAACCATTTTTGTTGTGTTATTAATATGGTTGCATGCATTTGTTTGAAGTATTATAGTCATTCATGATTTGTGATAACTTGACAGATTTGTGCCACTAAACACCTCTCAACTTTATGATATGCTATGCAACATTAAGGAAGAGCTATAGGCAGCTTTACACGAGTCAGCTCCCGCCGATGTGTTGTTTCATGAAACCAATGATGCAATGAAGAAAGTGAAAAAGGAGATCCTCGTTGGAGAACCTTCAAATCCAAATGCAGGTGTGGGATAGTTAAAGGAAGAGATGACATGGTTAAAAGAGATAAGCAAAGCTGGAAAGAAGGGGAATCAAGTTTTTGTAATTAAGATCCTTAACTATATGACTAAGTGAACTACATTATATATAATTTACATTTTTGAATATTTACTGTATGTGTCCTGACATGCAGCATTTCCCAGCTAACGTGATAGAAAATTGCCTCCGTCCCGACATTAGCTCGTGCCTTGTTAGGGATTTCCACACCGACGAGTATCATTCATGCAAGATAATGAAATCTAACAGGAAACATGTGGAAATGTACTTGGGAAAATGGTGGTATTCCTATGATAAGGGAAAAAACTAAAGGTGGGAGATACGCTTGCATGCACCTACAACTCAGATAAGGAAATCCTGTTTGTGAGGTTGTACCGAAAAGGTGAAATCCAGATGAAAGAGTAAAGTGGATATTATGTATGTTTTGGCTGGAAAATAGAAGGAGTTTTGTACCAAGTTGGGAACAATGTTATGTTCTATGTTTAGTTATGGAAATTATATAACGTTTATGTTTAACTTTTTTATTTTGTGTTGTTAACAGTTCGCTATTAGGGATGCAACATTTCTGTAATGTGTTGCTTTAATTTTCTCTAAGTATCTAAGTGGATAATTCTACTAAGTATCATAGTGCATCAGTGCTTTTGCAAAATGTATTTCACAAGTTTGGTGTTCTTTTAGTTAATATTATAAACAAAATATGTTTCCAACAATTGCTTAATTCATATAATCTATTCATCTTCTTACCATATAACACATAAGACATCTAAACATGTAACCATTACATTAACGGAATACTGTGGAAGATATAGAAACATATTATATTTGGAGGCAAATGATTGTATGTACTTGCTTCTTCATCGAATTGCATGAAGTCAAATAAATGACTATTCATTTTGAAGGTTTTGTAGTGAAGTGTAAGATTTAAAGGGCATTTAGGCCTGTAATGAACGAAAAAATGAAAGTTTTATTGATCCTGACATATTAAGATATTACTGAAACCACATAGTCATAGTGTATATGAAATATAGAATTATTTATGAAATTTAAACAATGTAGAAACTAAATGTTTGCGGACATCATTAAAAGCATGATACAACTTCAATGAATTCACATATATATTGAAGTTGATGAAACAACATCAGTAAATGAGTATATTTAAAACATGTTTTGCATTGGTTCGGCAAAACAAACAACTAAAATTATGTGACAGTAATAGACTCATATACATTTGGTGCATATCACGGTATAACGTTCAAACCAATTAACCAAAAATATATGATGGAGTTCGACATTATTCATTCAAGGATATTAAAGAGATCAAACTGAAAACTTTTGAAACAAATCCAAAGTATTCAAGGCAAAAAACTACAAACAATCGGATTGGTTTCTTCAAAACTAACAATAAATTAAAATAACATAAATGTGAATATAGATACTTCTCCTTCTTTATATCCTTAATTAATTTGGTTGCGGAAAGTTAGACACTCTCAATATCTTCAACAGGATCAGGTAAAGTTCTTTTTGATGGAGTCAAAGTTGAATTTCCAATAGCAGGGTCATAATCGGCACCAGCAGATAAAGGTTCCTGCTGACAATGTGGATATAATATATCAACATTAGACATTGTATGTAGATATCTGTTTTACATAGAGGGGTCATCTTTGAATTAACAACTTACAGTAAAGAATATTGATTCATCTTGGGATGAAGGATCAGTTGGTATAAGCTTTGAAGTAGGCTGCCAAATACAAAATCATATCAGTCCAAAAAAATAAGTAGTGATCATCAATGATATTTTTGTGTTTACACTGAGATTACCTCTTCCGAGCTGAAACTCCCTTTGACTCTTACGAAAATCTTCATCAATTTTGAAACTAATGACGAAAAGTCTGCCTTTGTTAGGCTGAAAAACTTCCCTAATAGCCAATTCCTGCTTTAGAATTGCATCAAGTGCATAAGGGAATTCAAGAGGATGATCATCTTCACCGACCTACATAAACACAATGAACTCTATTACACAATTTTTTTTAAAAAGAATCAAACTTAATAAGTTGTAACTGTATACCTCTATCAATTCATTTTTCATTTGAAGAGCGGACTTTCCAATCAACTTGACGCAATCTCCGTCCCAAAAAATGAATTTGGCCTTGTATTTATCTTCAACAACCAAGACTTCGAGTTTATATCTATAAGATAATCATAAACCATGATTGTAATGCCACAAAAAATTTAGCAACATGAATCGTAAATATAGATACAGACAATACCTTAGTACAGACGCTGGGCTAATGTGTTTGGAATAACATACCAGCTTTCCATCCTGCAATGACACACTTTTTGTGCAACCAACACATCCATCATAATACCAGCCTGACTGTCCAGCCTCAAATTTTTCCAAAGTCGCAACAATAACACATGTAGTCTCCTGATAAAACGATGAAACCCATAGTTAGTTCGATATGATGTATAATCACAATTTCACTATACAATGAAATATGTATTACGTGTTGCAGAGTTGTTATTTCAGCAAGACTTAGAATTTCTGCCTTCCAAACAAACTTATCGAAATCAGAATAGTATGAGTTTTATGTTGTGTCCACTTGAAGACTTGATGAAGACAGTAATGGCAATTCAGACTGCATACTGCATGAAATATATGACAAATGTTCATAACCAGTATAACAAAAATATATTATACAACACAGTAAATAAAATGATATCACTCAGCACCTGTCTCTGAGCTTGATAACTACATCAAGGGTAACATCATTAATTAGCAACTTTGTGCCATTCCAAGCGTTGTAGATGTTCAAAGGAAACCCTCCTGCAAGTTTCAATCATTCTTTAGAACATACAATTGTATTGAAGCAGAGATTAAATTTCATGTTACATCAATCTGGATTCACATTTGGAGAAAAAACTCAAAATTTATATGTGTCAAACCTTGAGCCTCCTTAATACTGGCATTAATAAGCAAAACAATTATACTTCCATCTTCCTTATGACTTTTATAATAATCGTAAAATTGTATGGAAAACTGACCTTCAAAGAGTACATTGAACTTCAAATCTGCTACTTTGTCAAACATATTAACATTATTAATATGATGATGTTAGTTAAATTAATGTAATAATATTATACAAAAAATTACTGGAAGCATACCTATTATCAGTAATTGAAAACACAACCTTGCTCTTTTTGTTATCAACATTGATTTGAGAAATCTCGGTCGCTCCTCCAAGAATATCTACAATAATTCATGTATTATATACTATATAGATTTATAGACGTTGGAAAACAAATATTCTATGAATTAAACTAAAATCCACCAATAACATACCAACCAAAATATTAGACTGAAATTTGCCTTCAACAATGGCATCCAAATGAAGAATATTAAGGTAATTCATAGGAATATCAAGAAGTTCAGCCTTCTTAACAGAAGTTGAGCCACAAAACACCAACTTGAAACTATGATTACTCGACTTAAAAGAGAAATCATTATTTGACACTTTGAAATTCTGCATTACATATGAACATCCAACCGCGAGTTGCTCCTTGAATTTTGAAACCAAGAAGGGTGGCACAATGACTTGAATCGTATATAAATACAATAAACGAACATACTCATTTAGTTTTACCAACACCAATATTACAAATACAAATTCATAACGGTCAGACCGATAAAATACCTTAAAATCAACCAAAATCATCTTGATGTGTTCCTTTTTCGATGCACTCGTCATAGTCCACAAATGCTTGCACCTAACAGCAATCTTCCATAAATCATTTGACTCATTAATATCCTTCACAACTTCAATTGGGCGAGCCATATAGTTGATGTATCCTGTAACAACAACACGGAAAAATTGGATGGATGAAAAGTTGAAACAATAGAATAAATTGTAACAATAACATGAAATCATTTGCCCTCATCAGGATAAAAGAACCATATCCTAAACCCTAAACAAAAATCCCCAATCTTCGAATGAGTCGCATCCAAATACTCTTCAACCATGTTCTGCAATTTACAGATCAATCAACACGAATTTAACCTAATCCTTCAAATTGGGGTTGAAATAATCATCTTAAGATGACAAAAGTCAGGGATTTGGGGTTGAGTGTGCATGAATTTGTGACAGAAACAAAATCAGGTATAAAGAACAATGGGATATTCACTACCTGAAGATTGAGAACAATTGGATATTCACTGAAGAATGGGGAAAGGATATACTGAACTATTGAAGAAATACATTGCATATTTATGGCCGAGTCACTTGAAAACAGAAGTTATAAGGGTGGAGTACTCCATTGTTGGGAGTTGTGGTTTTGAAAGATGGAAACTTTACTCTATCATTGAAAACATAAGAAGTCTTGTGTTATTAGTTATAATCAAAGGACATTTAATAAATTTTTAAATACTTTAAAGTTTATATATTAATAATAGATTATTGTTTTAAATCTTAAAAATATATAAAGATATCAAAATTTTACTCTCAACCGTCTGCTTTTTCTTGAGAATCTATTTTGTTTATTTAAAAAAAACTTATTTTATTTTTATAATTTTTTAGAAATAAATATAATTAAAAAGTAATATATTTATTTTAAACTTAATTATTTTGGTATTAATGTTTTTAGATATAAAGTATTTATAAAACACTAATTTTTAAATTTAACAATTTTTAGAGCAATAGTATTATTTTATGAAAAAACATATAGAATAATAATTTTCAAAAAAGTAGTTTGCAATTTATATTAATTTTTTTTTGTCTGAAATTGTAAAAAAAGAAATTCCCTTGTGCAAGATCTACAAAAAAATCAAATTTTTTATTCTTCTTAAAAGGTTGAAGGTAAATAGACTCCCTCTCCTTCATAATTCTTGAGCAAAATCTGCAAAAATAAGAACAAAAAAAAAAAATCGTCCAATTTAAAAATAGCTCTACATAAAAGATGATATGTTTAAGTGTTATCACTTACATTGTTGATAATATTTTAATACTTATTTTCTTCTTTTCAGCTCTCCATATCTATATTTCTCTGTTTCTTTCACCTTTCAAGATTAACAGACTTGAAGGTTAAAAAAGATAGATCTTTTTAAAATTGTTTAAAGAAGAAGAAGATGAATGGATCTAAGAATGAGATAGGGAAGAAAAATGAGAAAGGGAAAAGAAAATAAGAGAATGAGGAGACGTCTCAGAAAGAAGAGAGAGAATGTGATAAAGTAGCATGGGAAACTTAATATAGGTCAGACTCATATTGATCATTGAAGCAAAATATTATTTAAAAAATAAAAAGGAGCTTTTGATATACAAATTAAAATCAGTTTATAGAAGAAAGAACAATGTTGTAACAACGAAAAGGAAATACAACATAGAGAGATATGCCACCTGGCAGCGTGTATGCTTAGCAGGGCAAAATTGTAAATTCCATAACACTAAATTTGATAGATATAATTATAATTTATAATTAAATACAACAACAAATTTTATGCACGTGAACCAATTACATGGATCAACTTTTGTCATAATATTTTATTAAATATCATGTTTCTATCCAAATCATTAATCTTGACATCTTTCTTAATAATCTCTCTTATAGTCTTTCTAAGTCTTCATCTTCTTTGAATTGTTTATCTTCTCTTCATCTGATCTACTCTATTTACTACAAAATTTACTGATATTCTCTCTACATGTTCAAATCATCTAAGTATATATTCCACAATCTTTTTTATTATAGGCGCTACTCCCACACTCTTTTTAATATTTTTATTTCTAATTTTATCTCGTCGAGTCTTACGTCACATCCATCGTAACATTTTCATTTATGCTACAATTACTTTATTCTCATGTTGATTCTTAATCGCCAAATATTTTATCTTGTACAAACAAAAATAATTTTTTAAAAATATCATCAAAATAAAAATAAGCAAAATTATAATTCATTAACAATAAATTTTCCCTATTCAATTTTTTAGAAATAAATCGATTAAAAACTATTGATGCATACAATTTATATTTGAAACAAATATTTGTCACTAATTAATTAGTAATAGAATTAGTTTTTTGACATATTTTAAATGAAAATAATATATTTATAAAATATTAATTTAAGGCAAGTGAGATAGCTCAACCAATATATGTTAGTTGAGTTAAATAAGTGTAAACTGCTGGTTTAGAGTTATACTTGCTAAAAGTATAATACATGACAATCCTTATGATGTAGGGCTGTCAATTTTTTTTAAAGTTGTTATAAGGTTAGAGTCAGCTCACGCGAGGAGGTGAGATGCTCTATATGAGGTGGTTTTTCCAATGGATTAGATCCTCCATACTTAAAGGTGAGGCATTTAAAAAACATCCCTAGGGTCTAGACCTCAAGTTGTGGGAGAATAAAAAACGCTCTCAAGAATGTGGGGAATGGACAGTGAGCTCCATATTATTTAGAGGATTGTGATCTTCCCCTTTTGACTCCCTATTCGAGCCTTTGTAGATTGGAACACGTCACTCCCCATGTTCCTACAAATCGGAAGAGACATTTAGGAAATGAGCAACCTAATTAAGAAATATAGGCATATCTTGATAAATGAGCGTCCAAGGAGTCTCTCGCGTGGGCGACATGCCATAAGAGTTATGGTTCCCCCTATAGGGGATGGCCTTTATACTTGTACTAGTTTACAATCGCTCAAGCAGAAGGTCTTTATAAAAGGACGAGGTCATTTATTTTATTTCCTTACTTGGAGTCGTTCAAGCGTAACACTCGATTGAGTCACTCATACGAGACTTTATGTTGAGTCACTCAGGCGAGAATTTAAATTGAGTTCCTCAGGAGAGATTTTAATTTTAGTCCATCGGAAGATACTTTAACTTGATTCTTTCAGGCTAGACTTTACACTACGCCAAAAATAAGTTTTAGCAGCACATAAAAGAAAGCGCTTTTGGAAAAAAGCGCTGCTGTAGATTTTAAAAAAAATTCGCTTAAAAAAGCGCTTTCAAAGGGTGCCTTAAGAAAGCGCTTTTCAAAAGCGCTTCTAAAGGTCACCCTTAGAAAGCGCTTTTTGGGAAGCGCTGCTAAAGCTGACCTTTCAGAGGGTACCTTAAGAAAGTGCTTTTCAAAAGCGTTGCTAAAGGTCAGCCTTAGAAAGCGTTTTTCTAAAGAGTTGCTAAAGCTGGCTTTTAGAAAGCGCTTTTAAAAGCGCTGCTATAGGATATGTGTGATACGGTGGGAGAACTGACTTGAGGTTTGCGTTTGTATTCGCAAATGTTGCGGTTGAGCAAGAGTCGCCACCGACTTTTTATTTTATCCTAAGGAAAGGTTAAAAAGCACAGCCAAAAACCTTTGAGATGTTTTCTTGGGTTCGGGGAGTAGATTATAGAAAGGGAAGGTATTAGCACCCTTTCTATCCATGGTTATCCATGGGCTCTTAGTTACTTGCTTAGATCACTTGCCTTTTGTTTTCAATTTGTTTGAAATGGTGCTTTGTGTGTGTGGGGGTTTGAAAATGTTTTGAAAATAGGCCAATGTAGTGGCAACCTTTGTAATGATCCATGTTGGGATGTATACAAAGGTGTATGTCTTTTGAAAAGGTTTTCATTTGTTTTTGAAAGTTTGTTTTGAAAGTGTTGTGATGTGTGATTTTGAAATTAGGCAAGTGTTTTTGTTTTGCAAGTTTGATTCAAGTAACTAAGAGGTTGTCTACTCCTAAATTTCTCAAAAGATTATTGCTATGTTTTAACCCTTTTAACAAGTTTATTCCATCATTGTATTTGGTGGACAATATTGTGTTAGGATGTGAAAGGGACGGGCGCGGGTCATCGTTTAGACCATAATTGCAATGGTGCCAAGTATCTTTGGGCATTTTCTTTAAGGGACTCGATCATTTTGTTTTGAAAAATATTATCGAGGGACCATGATCTTTTAAATTGTTTGTTTTGCCCAAAGAGACCTAACATGCAATATGGCCCAATTTTGAAAGGCAACACGTGGATATAACCCTAGGGGTGTTAGTGTGCAAGTGTGTTTTATTGCATACAAGAGTTTTTTTCTTTGAATTAGGTTTTTCTATTTCATTGAGTTTTATCTTGCCATACATGTCCTAATTACTAGCAATAAGAAGCGGAAATGTAAAATCCTACGCTATTACAATAGTTAGGGGAGGGGGATACACGTTTGTACATGGGGGTTCAACGAGAAAAATAGACAAAAAAGAAAATAGCGGAAAACAAGATATATAGAGAGAGAGGGAGCCTGCGCGCCGTTGGGAGGCCATCAGAAGTTCTGACCCAGATCCGCTGTCAGATGATCAACCTGTTGGTGAAATTGGATGAGTCAGAACTTTTGACTCTAGGACCTGCAAAACAGACCCTTGTTAGTGGGGAAACCAGAAGTTCTGATTTCCCTGCGCTGCAAGACAGAAGTTTGTTAGTGGAGAACCCAGAAGTTCAGATTCTGCTGAAAAGGCAATAACTCTCAGAGGTTCTGATGTTATTGACAGCAAAACAGGCTTCAGATGTGCTAACGTCGAAGTCAGCACTTGGCTTTTTCCTGCACTAATCAGAACATCTGCAATCCTGTTGTTACTCCACAAAACAGAAAACATATTTGGAACAGATCCAGCAAAATAGCAAAACATCTCAGAGGTCAGAATCACCAAGGTCACAGGTAGGTCCTAAACTGGCTCAGAATGTTCTGAGGTATGAGAGTCCTCAGAACATAAACAGCAATAACATGAATATTTACATTATGTTACTTGAATATGCACAGCTGATGATGCTTAACAGTGTGGTGAGGGTCAGCAGGTGCTTACCTGATTTTCTGGAAAATGGTGGGTGAAAGTTAG